CACCGTCTGGGTTAGGGGCCTCTTGCTAGTTACAACAGGGTCAATCAGGCTTAACTCCATCAAGTGGGGTTGCTCCGGATTTTTAAGGGAGAGCAGTTTGGTTCGTGGTTTTTGAAGTGCACTTGATTCCTCATTCATATTTCGCAGGAATCACCTTCCCCTCAAACCCGAGCAGCTCATCTCGTTTTCCATTTTTCGTTGGTTTGTTTTTTTTTTTTTTCCCAGAACGTGTTTTCTTCCTAAACGTGAGGAGTTCCCCCCCTCCCCGCTTTCCCCGGTGTGATTTCTCCCCCAAAAGGAACAACTGAAACCTCCCACAACCTCTCAAATCCCTCCAGCTCCACTACCAAAGCCGCGTCGGGTCCCCATGCCTCTCGCTTTCTCTGCAGCCGAGACATTACCTCCTCCTTGTCAGTCGGGCGCATCGGAGCGGGTGTTTGGAGTCGCTGAGCGAGGACCTGCGGGTGCCCGGGTGCCGGGGAAAAGCAGCGGCCCCCTGCGAAATCGCAGCAGCTCTCCCTCCTCTCTGTCACGGAGGGCTGCGACCACCAGGGCCCCCATGTAATTTTCAAGTCCTTGCTAATCCGGCAGCGCAAACAAGCTCTGCAGGCTCTCTACTGTAAGCATTGCGCACTGGCCTAAAATATGCGCGATATTAAATTCATAATACTATTATGTCAGCAATACACGGCAATGCGTGGATACGGAAACAAAACCAGTCAGACAATGAAGTCAACTCAACACGGGCTATGCAAACAGGTTCTGCTTTGAGAAAACACCCCATCCTATTTATCCTAGATACTGGCCGAACCCCGGCGGCAGGGTCCCTGTCTCCGCTGAGGACACTGCTCAGCTCTCAGCACACCCACGCATCCTTCGCGGCCACGGAAAGGCAGGAGGTGCCACTCCACGCGCACCACCAGGCTGCCAAGGGCTGGGAAATGAGCAAGTGACAGCAGAGGTGGAATATAACCCGGTTATAGGGGTTGAGTTTTGGTTTGGGTTGTTTTGTTGTTTGGGCTTTTTTTTTTTAACAGCTTCCCTTTCACCTTCTTTCCGAGCCCTCAGATCTGGAAATTCTCTCTCTCTTGCAACTGGGGTCTCGCCGCATACTGGGACCTTGTGGAGGGTATGGTGAGAAGAAAGAAGGGCAACATGCCCCCTACACTTAGAAAAGGAGAAGAGGGCGGATTAGCATATCCTCCGTGCTTCGCACAATGAAAATGTGATCGCTAGTATATATATTATATTAAACCCTGGAGAGCAGACCAGTCAAACATCACTTCCACCGGAAAACCCCACTCGCTACACACTTCCCTGTTTCAATCTCACTTTCTCTTGCTTTGCCTGTGAATGGACGAATCTCTGCTTAAAACCGATACCTCTTCCTCAGGGATATCAGCAAAAATACCTACATCAGGGGCTGAGGAATGAGACCTGCTCCTGCCTCACATCTGGAGGCAAAACACAGCAGCAAGTGTCAGAGCTCTGCAGTGAAAACTCCACTCCCCGCACAACTCAGCTATGTTTGGTTTTAAGACTAAATGGGGAGAGGGAGAGAAAGAGAGAAGAGACAACACTTTCCTCTGCAGATTCAGTGAGCTTCAGCGCAGAACAATAAAGCTGTCTCAATAAATAATGTACCTGTGTCTGTCAGTAGCTAGTTTATTTGCTTTTTTCTTCTGATTTGTTTATACTAGTGATCCCTCTCTCTTGGGTGTCTTTACAGCTCAACAAGCAGGTATGCATCTCAAATTCGACCCTGAGTTCTCAGATAGACAAAACTTTAAGGTTATTAAAATTTCAATCATATTTATTTATTGCAGAAAAATAATATACAATGATATTTACAAAACAATCATAAAAATAGGAATGCATTTAGACACCGGATCTATTTGCATTTTAACATGGGTCATCAATAAATAAATAAAATGTTTATTTTTTTTTCTCAGAGGAAAAATAATAATAATAAAAAAGTTAGGAACAGGGTGTATAACAGCTTGAGCCCAGCTTATTCCCCCCTAAAAAAAAAAAAAAAAAGTTTTCATCTCTACAGGGATATTTTTGGTTTTCTGGTTGGTTTCATTCAAGAATGAAGAAAGTCCTCAATAATGTATTTCCTTTAATCAGTGGCTCATAAGCACGACCTCTTGGGAATGCATGCAAAAAAAAAGGGCAAATAAAATAAAAAAAAGTTCAATTCCAACATTCTTCGTCAAAAATTAAAAAAAAAATAATCGAACGATTCAGACTTCTATCAGAATGCAGAGATGTGTGTACTGTACCGACGCCCAAAGGGTAGTCACTGTCCAAAGCCCTTGTCTCTTTCTCTTTCCTTAAGTGCTCCCCACGCCCTGCTTAGAATTTGCATATTGCTCTTCTAATTTCCAAGAAATCCTTGGTACATTTTTTGTTAAACAAGACCAAAAAAAAAAAAAAATCGTATCCAACTTCAGAGTCTCTAGATTGTCCATTTTCTCCTTCTGTGGGAACAATGTCATCTGCAAAAACCCAGAGAGGGCGGAAAACTCGTTACTTAAATGAAAGAAACACACACATCTATCTACACCTCTCTGTCTCTGGAAATACACGTATCGGGCAGGAATGAAGAAGGAAGAACCCGCCGTGCGATGACCGTGTGACACCCCAGCCCGGCAGCCCGCGGTGTCAGAGCCGAGGGAAGGGACTGCTGGGGCGATAGGAAACGTTCATCGGGCAGCACAACTGACGGACATGGATTCACTTCAAAATACGAGCAGCAGCAGCAGCAGCGGCAGCAGCAGGAGCCATCCCAGCAGCGCTGCTGGCTCCGCAGCGTTTGGTGAAAAAGTGATCTCCGGCCGGCCCCATCTGGCTGGGGCACACCCGCACCGCCGCCGCCTCCCGCCCGCAGCCCACCCCGCCTGCCGCCGGCAGCGCCCGCCACGCGTGGGCCCCGCGGGGCCGGGGGCGCACCTCGGGCCGCGCAGGAGGAGGGACTCTCCGGGCTGGGGGAAGCACCTCCAGAGGCACCTCCAACCGCCCCGCTCTCCGGCTGGTCCTGGAAGCCAGGCCCCTCCGGACAGGGTGGGGGCCTTGTCGCCCCTCGGCCACGCGTGCCCGGCCCACGGCGCAGCCGGCGGCCTCTCGCCTTCCCCCCTTTCTCCCCGCCGGTTTCGGGGTCCCTGCCTTACCTAGGGCTCCTGCCGGGGGGATGCGGGTGGGGGACGCCGCCTGCTAGTGGGATGCGGACATGGACCAGGCGCCCTCCATTCTCCACACCGAGAAGGCGTAGCTGAGCCGCTCGTGGGCCACATAGCTGCAGCTTGCCATCTTGGAGTCCAGCTCGTCGCTCTGTAAGACCTGGTAGAGGAAGTCGATGTACCTGGCCGCCAGCTTGAGGGTCTGGATCTTGCTCAGCTTGTCCGAGGGCAGAGTGGGGATGATCTTCCGCAGTGCGGCGAAGGCTTCGTTCAGCGACTGCGTGCGCTGCCGCTCCCGCACGTTGGCCATGACCCTCTGGGTCTGCAGCTCCTCGTAGGACTGGGGGCTGCCGCCGCCGCTGCTGCTGCCGCCGCCCCCGCCGCCCCCGCCCGCCCCGCACTTCTTGCCCCGCTTGCCTTGGGCCGGGCTGCAGGGCTCGTCCGCGGCCCCGACGGCGCCGCCGGCGCTGCGGCGGCTGGAGCGGCGCTTGCGCCCCCCTCTCTTGTTGTTGGGCAGCTGCTGCCGGTCCGGCTCCTCTTCGCTGTTGCTCAAGCTGTCGTCGGCGGGGGAGACTGGAGAGTTTGACTCGTCCTGCTGCATCATCTCTGGGGGGAGACGCGAGAAGCGGGCCGGGAGGGGGGGGAGGGCAGGGAGAAGAGGGGGGCACCTAACCCGCCAGCTCCCCCTTGATCGGCTGCTTCGCTGGCCTGCGAGAAGAAGGAGGAGGAGGAGGAAGGGAGGGAGGGAGGACCTCACTTTTGGGGGAGGGGGGATGGCATCAGGATCCAAGAGGAAAAAATATGAAAACGCCAACCAAAAAAAAATCCCTCCCGATCCCTCCTTGGAGCCCCTTCGAAGTGTCTGGGATTGGGAGAAAGTTGAAGACTTGGAGGTTCTTATAGCTCCTGCTGGCGGAAAGTTTGGGGGCAGCAGTGTCATTGGCCTGACGTGGAGAGGAGGGACTTTTGCTGAGTTTTATAGGAAAGTTTCCGCTTCCCCCCCTCCACGCCCTCCCCCAATTATTTTTTTCAAGCCATTCACGAGTGATCTGGCCTCCCCCCCCTCACACACATACATCCTTACCCCAACGTCTTTCTCGGTTTCCCTCTCCGCGGTTTCTCCCTTCGGTTCGCGCTTGGCCTTGGAGTGCTGCTGAGGGGCCGGGCCGGGCCGTTATGGGGGACCCCGACACCCCGTGCTCTGCTGCGGAGGGGACAGCGGAGCCGCTTAGTGCCTGCGCTGGGGGGCGAAGACCCCGTAGCAGCTGGGGAAACCCACATCTCTCGGGCTTTCCTCGCCGCAGCGGGCACGGCTTGCAGCGAAAAAGAGGAAAGGGAAATTACCCACGGGACAGCATCCAGGCACATCCTAATTTTGTCCCGCTCTAGCACACGCCGCGCTCCCATCACCGAGCGCCCCCGGGGTCTGACTTGCCGAGAGAGTCGTACATCTCTGGTCTGGGGAGAGGTGGAGGCACAGCCTCGTCTCTTTAGGTTGGAGGACTGCGCTTGGAGAAAGCCATCTTCAGAGGTGGAAGCAGCGGGAAAATTAAGCACTGGCTTCGTACATACATAAGCATCAGTCCTTGAGCTCGTCTTAAGAGAAACCCGGGAGGCTCTGCGTGCCCAACCTGGCACACAGGGAGATGGAAGGGTGTGCAAACCCTCTCTGCCCACACTCCGTGTCTACTGACCACTCACTTCAGTTCGTCCTCCCTCAAGGCGCCAAAGTCCGAGTCACTTCCTGGGAAAGGAGCTTATTTATTTTAATTTCTCTTTTATGTTTAGAGCCAAAGTAATTTCTCCCCAACCCCCGCCTTTGTGCCTCCTTCCCCGCTCGCTGGCAGTACAGAGCAGGTGGTGTGTCTTTTTAACAACAGCTCAGATTCAAACGGGGAACGCCTGGGAGGGAAAGATAGAAATTACCATCCCTCAGTAAATGGGATGAAGCACTTTCACTGCTCCCTGTGCGGGGACAGCACGCCTGCCCTGCCGGCCTGGCAGCCACTGCCTAGACGGGCAGTGCCGGGTGCGGGGCAGAGCGGGCAGAGCCAGCAACGCCGTGGCTTCCCGGCTTGTTTGAGGTGTGAGTGTGGACTGGGAGAACGGAATAGCAGAGGAGTGAAAAATGTCCTTGTCTGGGACAAAAAACTAGAGGCTTCTGGAAGAGCGCTGTCATCTTTTTCGGGGAAAAGAGCTGTCACTCCCCCCTGCCTGGGGGCTCCCTGTCCCGGGAGTTGACACGGGCCAGGACCTCGGCGCGGCCGCCGTCGAGGGGCAGTCGGCCCAGCGCGGCCGATGGCCCCGGTACCCGCCGCAGCGCCCGTCGGGCACCCGTCGACGCCGGAGCTGTCCCGACACTCCTCCGCTCGCTGCTCCCCTAGGCGACCTCTCCTCCTCGGGTCTTCCATCCCGCGGTGCAAGTACATAGCAGTCTGCCCTAAGCCTTATCTTTTGGGAAACAGCTGGAAACAAGACGGGAGAGAAGAAAGCGACCGACTTAGCCGGCAAAGGAAGACATGCCGCCACACAGACCTACAGCGAGCCAGCACAGCTTCCCCGGCTTTCGGCTTGTCCTTGCTGTGTCTGCTGCGACCACGGGCCTCTACTCAACACCATGGCTTGTTCGGGGAGCTTCAGGGGTTCCCTTGTGTTGGCTGCAGCTGCTGCCCCCAAGGTAAGAAGAGCTGGCTCTCCTTTCACCTCCTTCTCACCAATAATTTTGTCTCTACCCAGAGCCTCAGTGCTCCTCTGGGGTGTTGAGCAGTGTCATTACAGACCAAAGGTTGGAAACAGTAGTAGTGAGCATCTGTAGGTGGCTGTTGGGGCCTTCCTTCCTTCCTTTCCTACCTTTCCTTCCTTCCCTCCTTCCTTTTCTTCCCTTCCTTCCTTTCCTTTCCTTTCCTTTCCTTCCTTTCCTTCCTTTCCTTCCTTCCTTTTCTTCATTTCCTTCCTTTCCTTCCTTCCTTCCTCTCTCCCTGACTCACTTCCTCCCTCCGTCTCTCCCATTTTTCTTATGGAAAAAAACGTTGAAGTGCAAATCAAACCTGGATAACTATCACCTTGCTTGGAACAGGATGCTGCCTGAAAGGAGAGAGAGGCAGCACCTCCTGAGGTGATTCAGCAGGAGGCACCACTTGTCTGCGTCACCCGAACTTTGAGTGGGATGCAGGACATCACCTGCTTGTCATGGGGCAGGAGGAGAGTGTGTAGAGCAGGGTGTGAGGGAGAGGCAAGGACAGGTGGAGAAGCAGTCTTACATGGTTTGCAAAGGCAGGATGTGTGGAGAAATGTAGGGAGGGACTGAGTTGAGGAGAGGGGTTGACTGTAGTAGATGGTTGGGTTCAGTGTTAGCTACTCTTCATGGAAACTGCAGCAAAAACAACCAGCTAACAGTGGTTAGCAGGACTCATGTGGTACTACCTAGGACCTGCACACTGCTCTATGAACTATGACTGCACAGAAAATCACATCATTTTCATTTTGGCTTTTGTTTCATCTTTGACTCACAAACTATGGACTCAGGAACAAAGGAAACTAAGCCCATACTGTTACTGCCAAGACCCACATAGGAGTGCAGGGGCCAGATGAGCTGTGGTGGCAATGGTCTGGCCTGGGGGACCTGCTGCTGGGCTGGTTGTTGAAGCCTGCCTGGATCTCCCAGGCCTGCTGGCTGGAAGCACACCTGCCTAGTGCTAGGGTGTGTGGAACCGTGTCCGGAAGAGGGTGGATGTGTCAGATAGTCATATCTGAGGGTCTGTGTGAGAAAGATATACTGGCTGGTTTTATGTGTGAGAATGTGTTTGTGTGTGCATGCATGTACTGTTGATCTTTTGCACTGTGCACACATATATATGTGTCAGAGGGAAGGGGAATGAAGTCTGTGAAGGTATTAAAGAAAATCAATTAAATTCTGATTTATTTTGAAATATACAGTTCTGATGGGGGTTGAGGTGGAGGCTTTTTGTTCTGCATTAAAACCATAATCATAGTTTAGTTCATGCAGTATCAGGTCATCTGTTTTGAACCTCCATTAAGCCACTAAGGTAGTCCTGCAGACCACTCTTGAGCATGGGGTAAGGGATTCCATGTCCTATTCTCTGCTATGCATATACATGGCTTGGGTGAGTATTCCTCTGGCTCCTTGGGCAGAATCTCAACCCTTTTTCACTGTTTGGTGGCAGGGTAGCAAGCAAAACTGCAAGCTTCCCTGGGCCTCAGCTCAGGAAAATGTGCCCCCTTACATGGGGTAGTGGCAGGACACAGAGCACTCCAGCATTTTGTCATCTGTCCAGTAAGGTAAACTAACCATCTAGATTACAGGCGTGGGTGTGAACATGGAGCTAAATAAATTGCAAACTCCTGGGAAAGCAAAATGAAGAATAAGTTGGGCTGTGATGATCAGCCAAAAGAAATCTCCCCAACTATATGCTGGTCCTTGCAAAGGCACCCATTAGCAGCTGAGGCACTCACAGGCTGGGACAAGCAGGATCTGCCTTAGCCAGGCAGAACATCATAGCTTTTGAGGGAAGCAGGCCAACAGTTTGATTCTTTCTTTGATTTCTAAGAATGAATTAAAGGTTTGATTTTTTTGCCCGCTAATAAATCAGTGGAGAAGTTTAAAAACTAGGGTGCTCAAGATCTGCTGGTTACAACTGCAGTGTTGCTCATCAATGTGTTATACACATTGTGCATACACACAAATTACAGCTGGATTGCAATAAAGCTGTTCAGTATTCCCCATGCGGCATACAAATACACACGTTGCAATTTAGCTCTCAAAGACTGCTCACTGTAGTAAAACTCTCCCACTGGTGGCAATTTCTTGGAATATTGAGTAATGTAAGTATTACATATGTGCACATTGAGAGACAGCCTGCCTGAGTGTTTTTGATGCCAAAGCCTTCAGTCCAGTGTTTCCTCAGAAGTTGTACCTTTAAGACCTATTGCAAAGGCCACTAAAATCACTTGAAGTTACCCTACCAATTTTTGTGGCCAGGAATTCCTATGCACACTAGGTGAAAGCCTGGTTGAGACCATATCCCTTCAAAGGGGACAAGAGAGCACCTAGCAACTTTCCATACTGACGTTTATGATGTAATTTGCTCTGTTTTGAAAGCACATCGGGAAACAGGCTCAGAACCCTCCCTGTGCGCTGGTAAAAAGTTGTGCGCAGCAACAGCAAAGGGGTGGAAGGAATATATAAAGGGCAGGAGAGTGGGATCCATTTTTCGCCTTCTTTCACCTTTTTTTTTTTTTCTTCCTGATACCGCGGCAGCTCATACAACCAAGGACGTGGAAAAGCTGACAAGCATCTCACTCGATACAGCCTCGCTACCTGGACCCCGCGGGGGTGGGCGCGGTGCTGCTCGGCTCGGCCGGCGAGGCTGGAGCTGCGGGGCCGCCCGGCGGGGCCGGGCAGGGGGCAGAGCGGCGGCCGGGCTGTGCGGCCGGCGGCCACCGGAGGGCACGATTCCCCGCCGGTCCCCGCTACGGCAAGGGGTACGGCTCCCAGGTGAGTCGCTCCCACCTTCAGCAGAGCCAGGCGGGCATCCGCCGTGCTCCTGCGGCAACCCAAGTCCCGCCAGGCTGGGCCACCCGAGCTTCGCGGCTGTGAGGTGCCGCCCGCCCGCTCCCGGGTCTGTTTGCACAAATTATGTGTTTCAGCGAGTCCCGAGTGTTTTTTCTCGCCGAGGTGGCCCCAGGCGGCGGGAGTGCCACTGCCTACACGGGCTGCGGCCGTGCTGGAGCTTGGGGGAAGATCCGGCACAGGGATCCTCCGCGGACACACGGACATCTCCCATGGGCTTGCTTCTAGCCCTCGACGCTCGCTTCGTTTGGAAGCTTTGGAAAACAGACGTATAATACGGAGTACTCCAAAGAGTCAGTTTCGTTGTCAAAATTACTACAGTGGTTTTTATTTTGTTTTTAAGCTCGTTGTGATGTGGTCGTTCATCTAAAAGTCCTAGCGGCTTGCTGCCACAAAAGCAGTGTTGGTCCCAGTGTTCGCAGTGTCCCCGGTGCGCGACCGGTCCCACCGCCCAGCCCTCCAGCCCCTGGGCCGGCGACAGGGAGCGCTGTGCCCCCCGAGCACAGCCCCTCGGCATGTCC